ATTATACATCCACATTGCCAGGTGAACATATCTGTGTATTCACTGTGAATTATGTAACAGATAGCACAGGCACTTTGTGCCTGTTTTAATCCTTATTTGTTAATGACTGCAGCACATGGGAGACCTCTGTGTTGTAATCTTCAAGTGGCTGTACTAAGAAACATAGCACCACATAACATGGATTACTGGATTTCTAGTTGGGCAGAAATCCTGCTGTTGCACCTGAATTCCTGATTGTGAGGCTCCACTGTACCAGTAGAATTGTGACCCAAGGTTTAAGTTGGGTGTTATTAAGCATTATCTGTATTACAGGAACTACACACATTGATCTGTGGGGAGCAACTTGTTCTGATGGGAAGAGGAGAGAAGACCTTCCTGATTTTGATGAGTTCCAGAAGTGGGTTGAAAACAAGAGGGAGATTGTACATGAAGAAAAAAAGAGAGAATTTGAAGAGAGAAAAGCTGTAAGTACATTTGCTATAATTTGAAAGTAATTTATTTGCTGTTCCATAATTTTTTTTTTTTTTTTAAATTTTCATTACTTTGGAGTCAGTAGCAACCTCTGGGACCTTCTAGGAAGGTCTTTGACATAAATATTTAATGGAGATTCTAATTAATGGTGGTTATTTTTACTTCCTGTCATAGTATTTGTGTTGAGTATTTGGTCAGTGCTTTTATTATTTGTTAATTATATTTTTTTCTCAGCATGACGGCCGTCTCCCACCGAGGCAAAGTGACCCAGAAAAGAAACACTTTCACCATCATTCACATACTATCACTGTCTTTGCATATACAGTGGACCCCTGCATAACGATATTAATCCGTTCCTGAGAGCTCATTGTTATGCGAAATTATCGTTGTGCGAATGAATTTTCCCCATAAGAAATAATGGAAATCAAATTAATCCGTGCAAGACACCCAAAAGTATGAAAAAAAAAAATTTTACCACATGAAATATACATTTTCCTACACACAAAGAGAAGGATACATGCACAATAGTAGAGTAGTACATGCACATTGTGCATGTACTACTCTACTAAATGAAGAATAAATGACACTTACCTTTATTGAAGATGCAGCAATGACTGATGAGACACTGTGTCCTGGGAGTGCCTTTTCCTCCTGAGACTGTAGGTCCTGTTTGGCATTTTCTTCCAGAACACCCCTTTATCACACGGTGTATGCCACTACGATTCTTAAATCTCTCAAACCCAAAACCTTGCTGGTTTTAAAAATTCACCAATATGAGCACTAGTTCCAGGCTTTTTTCCCTGTTCACCTGGGTGTTAGTTGACTGGTTGGGTTGCATCCGGGGAGACAAGATTAAGGACCCCAATGGAAATAAGTTAGACAGTCTTCAATGCACTGACTTTTTTGGGTTATCCTGGGTGGCCCAACCCTCTGGGGTTAATTGTTTCTTGGTATTCTCAATAAGCCACACAACAACGGGTGCTACAGCAGCAGCAGCAGCTGACAGTGCTACAGCAGCAAGCAGCACTGACGGTGGGTACAGCAGCAGCAGCAGCTGACGGTGCTACAGCAGCAGCAGCAGCTGACGGTGCTACAGCCCGCAGCAGCAGCTGACGGTGCTACAGCAAACAGCAGCAGCTGATGGGCTACAGCAGCAGCAGCTGACGGTGCTACAGCAGCAGCAGACGGTGCTACAGCAGCAGCAGACAGTACTACAGCAGCAGCAGCAGCTGGGCGGTGCACACACAGCAGCAGCAGCTGACGGTGCTACAGCAGGCAGCAGCAGCTGACGGTGCTACAGCAGCAGCAGCAGCTGACGGTGCTACAGCAGCAGCAGCAGCTGACGTTTTGCTACAGCAGCAAACAGCAGCTGACGGTGGCTTTCAGCAGCAGCAGCAGCTGATGGGTTTCTACAGCAGCAGCAGGGCAGTACTACAGCAGCGGCAGCAGCTGGACGGTGGTGCAGCAGCAGCTTTAGGGTGGTACAGCAGCAGCAGCAGCTGACGGTTGCTACAGCAGCAGCAGCAGCTGACGGTGCTACAGCAGCAGCAGCAGCGACGGTGCTACAGCAGCAGCAGCAGCTGACGGTGCTACAGCAGCAGCAGCAGCAGCTGACGGTGCTACAGCAGCAGCAGCAGCTGACGGTGCTTTCAGCAGCCCGCAGCAGCTGACGGGTTTTCTCAGCAGCAGCAGCAGCTGACGGTTTCTCAAACAGCAGCAGCAGCGACGGTGCGCAGCAGCAGCAGCAGCTGACGGTGCTACAACAGCAGCAGCAGCTGACGGTGCTACACAGCAGCAGCTGACGGGGTGGGGCAGCAGCAGCAGCTGACGGGCTACAGCAGCAGCAGCAGACGGTGCTACAGCAGCAGCAGCAGAAGGTGCTACAGCAGCAGCAGCAGCTGACGGTGTGCTACAGAAGCAGCAGCAGCTGACGGTGGTGCAGCAGCAGCAGCTGACGGTTGGGACAGCAGCAGCAGCTGACAGTGCTACAGCAGCAGCAGCTGACAGTGTACAGCAGCATCAGCAGTTGACCATGGTACCACAGTATTTTTGATAATATTTCTCACCCTTTTTACCACAGGGTTGGCACTAGAGGCTTTCTTGGGGCCCATGGTCACTTATTTTGCAGATAAAATCACCAAAAAACTCTGTAATAATATGAAATGTTCCGATTGTATGCTTGGATGTTACCCCGGAGGTGGCTTGTGAACAATGCCACCGGCGGAACATGTGAGGCTGGCTCAGGCCTCACATAGGGCGCGTCTCGGACGAATAGCGTTTGAGCGAGTTTTTTTAAACGATATGCGAGGCAAAATTTTAGTGATAAAATGTACGCTATGCGGATTTAACGTTAAAGTGATGCCAACGGTATGCGGGGGTCCACTGTATATTTCTTTCATGGCTGTTTAGCACTGAGTGATCTACACAGTCAGTGTACCGTAATAATCACACCTATCTACCTGGTTTGTATTCTCTTAGTTTTTTAAAACTGTGAACAAAGCTATTCCTGACTTGATTCCATTGGTATACCACTCACATAAACCAGAAACAGCACTGGTCCCAATACCGATCCTTTTGGTACAACCCTTCTTACTCTTCATTATTGTGACGTTCCTGGACAGTCACTCTTTGCTTCCTTTCCGAGGTACTTCTTGACTGCTAGAATATGTTCCCCCTATTCCTATCTGCTTCTCAAATTTTTGCCACATTGTCAGGTTTGGTACAGCATCAAATTCCTTCCTGCAGTCTGAGAAAAGGCAGTCCACCCCCTCTAAGATGAGACATGCCATTTCTGAACCCATGTTGGTGTTTGAATTTGAAACCACTTCTCTCCAACTACTCCACCACTCTTACAACTGTCTTCTCCATTACCTTACATGGTATACATAATCAACAAAACTAGGCTGTAGTTGAATGCCTCCTGCCTGTCTCTCTTCTTAATTATAGGTACTATGTTCTCTGTCTTTTAGCTCTCCCATGTTCATTGACTTCTTGTAGATCATACTAAGTGGTTCTGATAGTGCTTTTGCTCCTTTCCTCAGAATCCATGAAGGCACCTTGTCAGGCCCCACCAACTTTGATGTATCCAGGTCCATCAAAAGATTTTTTTTTTTTTCTTCCTACATTGTGTGTAGTGTCAGTACCTGCTGATATGCTCTCTTTTTTTTACTGGGCTTCCTGGCATTGCCTGCTTCCAGTGAGAAAACTCTAAATCATTTGTTCAGCACTTTGCACACTTATTATCTGTGAGCTCTCCTTCAGTCGAATTATCTGGCCTTTTACTATTATTATTCTTCTGAACTGGGTAGCCATTTAATATAGCATATTTAGTCCATTTTATGGCTATTTTAATTGGACGCCCCATTAAATATACAAGTTGAGCCTTTGTCCAGCCGGATTTTTTGTCCGTTTTAGCCAATGTCTGATTTGTGGAGGTCTGTTTTATTGTAAGTACAGTATACTACTTATATGTACATATAAGGCACATGAGTGTGTGTGCACACGCACACAGAGCCAGCCTTCTATAAAAAAATTTTGATGTTTGAACGATTTTTTTTTTCCAGGCTTATCGTAAAGATTTTGACTCGAGGAATAGTAGAGATGGAGGGCGAGGATTTGGTGGCAGAGACAGAGATGGAGGGCGAGGATATGGTAGAGATGACAAAGGAGGAAGCTCTGGTCGAGATGACAGAGGTGGTGGGTACGGTCGAGACGACAGAGGTGGCGGCTACGGCAGAGATGACCGAGGAGGCTTCAGTCGTGATGACCGAGGAGGCTACGATAGAGGTAGTGGTTCTGGTCGCGATAGTGGTGGTAACTATGGCAGAGATGACCGAGGAAATTACAGTCGAGATGACGACAGAAGTGGATATGGACGTGACGATAGAAGTGGAGGTTATGGTCGAGATGATGGAGGAAGCCGAGATCGAGGATATGAAAGAGATGATTTCTCACGTTCATCCAGGAGGTATGGATACAATCTTTTTGTCAACTCTTATGTTTGCTTGTATTCTAAACCCTAAGTAGAATTGTACTGTTGAGTTAATACATTGTAAACCTTTAAGTGGGTTGTTTAGCAAAAAACAAGCAATCTTTTCCCTTCACCAGGAAGTTTAAAATATCTTTCAGTCTTTAGAAAATATTAATATTTGTTACAAGGGCAGATAAAACTAGATGAAGGCCAACTAAATGCTATGTATCCAAGACATGTAGAAACAAGTTGCACATCTCTGATGCACTGAGGCTATACCTCTAGGTACATGCGGCACACTCATAATACTGAGTATGTATAGGGATTAGAGATAAGGAATGTAACACAAAGTGGGAGTTTTCACAGTTGATTTTTGCTGATGACACTGATTTTGGGAGATTCTGAAAGTAGTTGCAGAAATTGAGTATGTAAGGGTATGTAAAAGAAGGAAATTAAAAGTGAACATAGGAAAGAGCAAGGTTGATGAGGATAACAAAAAATTTACACAGTAAAATATTTGATATCAGATTGTGTGTGAGCGTGTTAGACAGGAGTAATG